GACTAGGGGCCTCCAAAACAGGCTGATATTGAAAGTTGGTGTTAAATGTGAGGCACAAAGAGTCTCATGAATCTCATACATATCTAAAACATAGATAGCTAGCACAGCTGAGTAACCCCCCCAAAAGGCCAGAGACCGCCGACAGGCCCAAAGTTTTATTACTCACTTCTGTAACCTAAGAATAGCTCAACCAGCTTGCATTAAAATCCCTGTACTTACTGAATAATAAGCCTTAGTATGTAAGGAGCCTGAGATTTAAAGGGGTCAACAACTACAGTGCTACTGTCATGTTACCCAAGTAAAAAAGTAACCAACCGCTCCTTCAGTTTGTGTTCTAAGTGTGTGTTTCCATCTAGCCGCTGTGTGTAGCCACAATTAAAGAAACTCCCCCAACACCTCGCCTCTGAGACACCACTGATAATTTACACCTGGTTTAAAAAACAGAAAAATCCATGTAAATCCGACTAGGGCACGCGACTCAAAATTTAGTAAATTAAGTGGAATTTGTAATCAGCCGCACGTCCAGTAGCTCCGCCCATTGTCTGAGTGATCCTCTCACATTTTGTGTGACTCACCCTCAAATGCAAATACTCGAGGAAGACATTTTGTGCTCTTCTTTACACACAACCTATAAACTGCACGTTTAGACTTGTGCACCAGTTTCATACAAACATGCTGAAAGAATGCATCTGATTTACTCCTGAAACTGAAAATCAACCAGTATATTGTACAAAAAAGTTCATTTTTATGTTGGACAGTTAAATGAGAGGTTCAGAAAAATGTCATTTTGCTTTATTGACAGTTATTTTAGCTATGTTAGCTTTTTCCCACAAAGAGGTCATTTCTACATTTGTTTTTACATCACATTTTGGTTAACTGGTCCACAATTGGTCACAGTTTGGCCTAAACAGCTCACTCCCACCCTCTCCTAATACTGACTATTATTATACCAAATCTGAAGTCAGAGTAGAAAACATATTTGGGACTTTTAACCGACTTTAGACTTCAATAATTTTGCTTTGTGTGACTCTATACCTTAGTTATGTACATTTTATTAAAACAAATATTAAAGTTTACCATTTTGTCACTACCAAAACAAACATAACACACCAAACTCTCCCACATGTTTCAGTAGGGACAATTTTAGTTCATTTTGAGCAGAACTCAAAAACACTAGCCAGTAAATGACCAGCACAGCTTTGAACAGCTGTACAAACAATCATAATATTTTTATTAAAACACCAAAAGGTTTTCTTAATTGTATAAAGTTCTGGATAAGGTTCATTGTTTTTTTATAGTTTTTACCCTGCAGTTTGAACTAATTCAGTACAATTAATTCAGAATATCATGTTTATTTTTGGTCATTTCAGTTTAGCAGCATTACACGCTATGATTGGTATCAGCACAGAGTTCTTAACCCTGCCTCCCTCTCTCTCCTCCAGAACCTTCAGACGAGTCTGTGTTAACCAAGGTCATCTTCTCTCCAGTGGATTATGAGTCTACAGGTCAGTTTTAGAGCTGAGACTGTATGAATGGCAGGACATCTTTCACCAGTGAATCACTGTTGTTTTTATATTTGTCTTCACAGAAATGAAGTAGAGAAGAAGATGAAGAACTCAGACCAGATGATTGTTATTTTATCTTTATAGTGTTCAGTATTGCAGTGTTGGGTATATAATAAACAGACACTTGAAGCTTATAAAAGTAATTCCATATGTTTTATCTGAAGATTGTAAAAGACATTGTCTCTATTCCTAACAACTAGCCAAAAACTGCTTAGACTACGGCTCGTATTTACAGTCGTTAAATGGATCCTATTGTAAATCAAAGCGTGATTGGTTGATTCTACTGTTCGATTCTTGTGTTAATCTAGTGTGTAAGGCCTTCAGTTCAGCTCCTAAAGTCCTAACCAATGGGAGAGCTTGCTCGGCCTTATCTACCTAGATACCACAGAGAACACAAAAATCTGATTGGATGATGGGAGCACAGCCCAGCTTGGAGGAGGAAAGAAACATGCAGCATCTCACTACACCATTAAAAAAGATGGTACTTCAGCGCTTCTTGACTAAAGACAGTGGTTCTACATAGAACCATGAACACTCAGTGAACCATTTGCATGATTAAATGGTTCTTTGCATAGAGAAATTATTTTTCAGACTGATGGAGAATGTGACTCAAAGAATCATTTGCAGGATTAAGTGGTTCTTTGGTAGGTGAAGTGATTCTTCAGATTGATCCAGAATGTGTTGTATTTTGAAAATGGTTTTATATAGCACCAAATGGGTTCTTCTATTGTTATGATGTCAAGCTTGTTTCAATAGAAGAACCTCCTTTGGAGCTACATAGAACCATCGTTCGAAATACGTCACATTCTGCATCAATCTGAAGAATCATTTCACCTACCATAGAATCATTTAATCGTGCAAGTGATTCTTTAAATGTTCATGGTTCTGTATAGAACCCTTGAAGAACCCTCTTTTTAAATAGTGTAATACTGTATATGCATGTCTCAGAAACTGGCCTGAAACCAATGTAATCAAACCCTGCAGTTGAGTTTAACAGCCAGCTCAGGATGTGCTAAATGGCTAATAACAGGCTAATCCAGTAATATTCAGAGTTAGGCTTTATGTTTAAATATTTGCTTCATGAATAAAATATGACATCAATGTAGGATCTGCTAACAGGATAACAGCTACCTGCCAACAGGCTAATTAGGCCCATTCAGAAGTATCCAGTTACAGGCTTTAAGTTGAAATCTTTACTGAAAGGGTTCTGCAATGAACTGCTTGGTGAACCACAGTTAGCCTGCTGCTCGCAATAACGGAAACTGGCAGTATGCTAGCGGTGTGAGTTGCATGAAGAAAGGTTTAACTGCATTAAACATGCTTGGTGTGACTGACACACGGCTGTATCCAAGTATCAGCATAAACAAAATTAAAATGTTCATTAAATTACTGAAATATTTGCGGCCTAAAAATGACAGAATGGCTAAGCATAGCATAGTGTATGAGCTGCCCAGTCAGTGTTGTTGTGCTAGGTTGTTGCGTACTGTCTCCACATCCGTGTAACACACAAATGAGTCTTCAGTATCCCAGTGTTTGACCTCCAGGGACCTGGCCAGTGCCTGAAATCATATTCACTATGTACTGATACACTACATACAGAACTAGTGAGCGAAACAGGACACAGCCAAGGTTCATTCCTACTTAACATTTACCCCAGAATTTCTCATGGCTGTCCCCAGATGTTCTCACGTTTAGCCCCATAAAATAAAGATATCAATTATGTTGATTATGTATATGAAACTTGAAACATATCAATTACATATAACAATTCAGTTAACACACTTATGCTTTTCCTGTACTTTTAATACACGATGACTCTTTATTGGCAGAATAGATAGATGGAACAGAAAAACTCAGGCACACACTGTGATCAATGCTGCAGTATTTATTGAGTTTTATGAGTAACATATTGGCAAAGCATGAACTCCTGTCTACTAATACAGAGCAAGCAGAGATAACATAGCTTTTATATAATGTGAAAGTCAACTGTTTTACGTCAACTGTTCTATATTTCATGTACTTTAATGTGATATGTATGGTAAAAGGATCTGCTGCATTCGTAGTGTACAGTCGAATACCACAACATGTTTCCCTAAACTTCACTCACTGACAAATAAAGATCATGAGCTGAATTCAGTCTGTAAATATTTATATGAAACAAGTTTTGTAGAAGAATTTCATGAATTCTTCAAATTTGACAACTGCACTTTTGAATTAGTGTTACATGGTCATTTGCTTCAAACGCTTCTTATTGGCTTCTATTACAAGTGAGTTTATGTCAGCAAATTTTCTGCTCTTCTCCACTGTAAATGACTGAAAATGAGGTACCTTATTACATTTCATAAGTTAACTCAACCTAGAACACCAACTCAAACGTCTTAGTCTAGTCCGCGGTTCTCCTAACAGGTTAGCTAAACAAAAAAGATTGAGATTCTTTTTCATCACACAATCCCACCTAGTATTTCCTCCTCTTGGGCTCCCACTTACGGATGGCTGTGGCATCACTGGGGTTTAAACTCAACGTCAACCACTTGAGAGGCCCTGACGCTTCTCATGTTCCATACAGATGTAGTAACAGGGAGTGCAGCAGTCTAAATATCAACCTCACCATTAAGGGTTTGTGAGTTTAAAACCCAGTGAAGCCACAGCCATCCATAAGTGGGAGTCCAAGAGGATAAAACGCCTGGTGGGATTGATGGTTCCAGCTAGTGGGAGATTTACCTAACAGAATTAAAAATGTGAGAACCTTTGACTAAGAAGTTTGAGTTGGGTGAACTCAAGTGTCCTCAAGTTAACTCAAGAAAAGCTGTGTGAAAATTATCATTTTAAGTTGAGCTGACTTTTCATCTGTATGTGAATTCAGGCAAACATGCTGAAATGACTGTTCATGGTAGATGGAGGGGATGAAAAACATCCCCTCAGATTGAAAGCTATTATGTAACAGACAAGTAGAGAACTGTAACTGGCTGTAAGTTATCATAGGAAGCAATCTGGTAGAAATCTGAAGATGAAATTTTGTAAGTAAGTTTTTAACTTCAGTTTCCAGAGATACCTGTAGAAGCTCTTTCCAGGTAAACAATCATCTCTTGTGACCCTGATTGCCATATCATACTGAATGCTGTCACGATTCTGAGGCTGATCCAATTGCTGATCCAGCTGCTATAGCAGATGCTAAAGAGCATAGAAGATGCAGTTTTGCATTGCATAAGAAAATAAAGTTTCATAGTACGGTCCTGTGCAAAAGTTTGGGCTTACTTGTCAAATGACATGTTGTTGATTTTCGAAGTGAAAATAAGTTAACACATCTTCTACATTATCCTTTTTTAATGCTCAAGTGCTGTTTATTTGCTGAATTTGACATGCTAAGGAAAAAAAGTACAACATAAAATGTAGCCTGTGTAAAAGTTATAGCTCATATTATATTTTGTGTTTTATTTTTTCCCATGTTAAAATAGACGATATGCACTAAAATTTGCAGAAAAGTACAAATATTTAGGTGTTCTCTGTAGAGGATGTGTTCACTTATTTTTACCCAGAAAATCAACACGCTATTTAACCAGCTGTGTTCAAACTTTCGCATACAGCTGTAATGTTAAAGGTCTTTAAGCTCAAGTCGGGGAGATGCCCATTCAGGCAACACGTTGCATATAATATGGAGCCAGGATACGTTTATGATCATCGCCTAAATATCTGTTAGCTTGAAAAAGCTACAATGCTAACAGTGCTAACTGAGCAGATAATAGCATTGAGGTCAAAGCAGGTCTGTTCATCATCGCTGGATGTGGTGTTTAATGGAGATCAGATAAACAGTGTCCTATCCAGCCAGATCTGCACCTGCACCTGCACAGTATTCATTATCCTGCCCACAATGCCTACACCTATTGTTATTATCACACTGATACAGAGGAATCTGATCTGCTATTTTCCTGAAGCAGTCTGACAGCTCTTCCTTGTCCACGTCTTCTCTGTAGATCTGAGAGAAAACGAAAGCCCTCGGCCCTTGGAGGGAGTTGAGCTCATCAAGATAATTATAAATACACCTGAAAATTCCTGTTAATTTTTTTCCTTTTGTCGTTTGTTTATCATGAATCTTTCTTGTTTTCTTGTCTGCCTCTTCATTTAGGCACCTTTTCAAACAGGGGGAGTTGTATGTGTAGAAGATCACACAATCTTCATCATTTCTTCCCTGTTTGCTCTCTAACAATTGTTTTATCACCTTCCGTTCATTTTCTATTAACAGCTTGTACTCTGAATGTCTTTCATTCTTAGATCTGGCCGCAATGACCATTTGTCCTTCATACACATCTCTCGTCTCCGGGTTGTTCTTGAAATTACTGACTTCCGTTTTAAGAGGTTCAAGACCCTGTTCATTAAAACCTTGTAGACACTGATTTTTTGCGATCCTGACTGCCATAGCATACTGAAAGTCTTCTCGACGATTTGATTGTGTTACAGATGGTGATCCAGATGAAGATGACGATCCAGATGAACGAGATGCCGGGTCTTTATTGGCACTGCATAGAAATAATGAAGGATTACACTCTGGTAAGAAGAATGTCACTGTGGAACATTTCTCATCAATCAGGGTTAAAATATTTATACTATTATGACTCTATTTAACTATAACAAAACTATAACAAGATACAAATTACAAAAAAGTGACCAAGGAAAAAGAGACAGGAAAAATCTAGAAATTAAATCGCAATGTTTTTATGCTTTTCCATTTTTTCTTACAGTACAACATGAACATAAAACAATTCAGTAACTATTCAGGTTTAGATAATAAACGCCATAAAACCTGCTTTTGGGGCACTGCCTTGACCTACATGAACCTCAGAGACACTACTAAAAAATGAAAATGTTTTTCTTATTTATGATGTTAGGAAGAAACATTGTTATATACACAGAAGCTTCTGTGTTGTCTTGTAGATCAGTCAATCACTACTTACTGCACATTTATCACACTGACTATGTGCTTCAGTGCGGTCAGGTCTATGGGTTTCCGGGTTTCAGTGTTGCTGATTCCTGAAGAGGGCAGAGAGAGGAGGAGCACTGCCCTCAGCACACCTGTCCACACCTGCACACAGTTTCAAACACTCATAAACAACAGAAGCAGGGTTACTTTCAAAAAGCATGTCATTACTGATTACCGGTTAAAATATATATAACTGTTACCTAATTCAGAGAATTTCTATATTAAAGTAATCTGACTAATTACGTTTGGATGACAAAAATAGATTATTGACAGATTACTTAAATATTGTGTCTCCCTGTAACAAAGTGGCTTTATTTGGGGCAGTCCAGTACTCACAGTCACAGCAGGCAGGGGTCAAAACTAAGGCAGGCAATGTAAGAGTTATATATCCATAATCAATCAATCAGAAAGCTAAGCAGCAATCAATATCAGTGGTGCTATAGGAACACCTACAAAGCAAGCATTGTAAGTTTTTTTTCTTGAATCCATATTAAGGATGTTTAGTTTTTGAATGAAAGAAATTGATTTTTGATACCATTGTTTAAAGTATTATAAGTCACATAGTATCCACCTGAACTTAAACCCATTTAATGTCATATCCTGTGTGACTGAATGTGTTAGCTATCTATAGTAACTGTTTTTATGTGAGGGTAGTTGTTCACTGATATCAAATGAGACCCATATGTTGAAATATAGTGGAAGAAAGAAATAAAAACCACAAATAATAAAAGGCACAAATAAGCTAAATTTGCTAAAGTGTAGTGTTACTTTAACATGTTACCTAACCTATATTAATAAACAATTGTTATAAGGCTTTTTTAACTCTGTTTTCATTTAAGTGTAATGGTCGCCTGAGAACACAGTAGTACCTCTTGTTTATTTTGTGTACATATTTGGTGATTTAAGCCATCAGGGAGAAGCAGTAATGTAAGTAATGATGCAGAGTTACAAGGAGCAGAAGTCACTTTAGATTATTCACTCTGGATTTATGAGCACTTTATAACATTTCATATATGCCTAATTTCATTATAGACTATACATTACGTGCATATGCACCTTTGGCAACAAGACATTTGTTAATGTGTAATGAAAAGGTTCAGTAAATCAATCACAATGATTTGTTTAGAAATCCCCATTTATATTTATATATACATTAAACCCACATTCCCTGGACACACTTGCTCTTGGAAAAGAAAATGAGAAGAAAGTCTACATTGAAACTGAAGTCCAAAAGTCCTTTATTTATTCAATGGGATTTTAATTTTAGGGCAGAAAGAGATGCTTGTACACATAATAGGCAATACAATAAATAATCAGACATGTAATGAGTACATAAAAGCAGTAGTGAACAAAAGTACAGTACTTCAGTAAAGTAGGTGTAACATACTACTTGACTAAAAGTATTCTATCTTAAGTAAAAGTACAAAGGTACTTGTTTGCTGATGAACTTAAGTATCAAAAGTACATTAAGGAGGCTGTAAAATGGTTAGTGGTTTTTATAGCTAGCATCTATTGATTTTAGCCAGTTTTACTGTTTCAAACTCATACGAAGCAGAAATAAAATTATTAATGTTATGTGTTTAAAATTCATTTTATTATTAGCATTTATGTGTGTTGTTGGACTGTTTGCTTCCATCATTCAATATATATGTATATGTATGTGTATGTATGTATTAGAGATGAAACGGTTACCGGTTTCACGGTAAACCGCGGTAAAATTTATGACGGTTAGTAGTACCGTTTGAACTTTACAGTATCGTTAAAACCGATCGATTACCGCGGTGTGAAAAACTCGGAGATTCGGAGATATTTCAGCCTTCTAAGAAGACCAAGTCTGACGTTTGGTCATATTTTGGGTTTTATAAGGATGCAGAAGGAAAGTTAATTGAAGATGACCACCCTGTCTGCAGAACAGGCCGAAAGAAAATAGCGGCGAAACGGGGCAACACATCAAACTTTATGAGTCATCTTCGCGACCACCACCCGCTACCTGCAAGAATGCAAGGTTAACTTTAACGGAGAAGTCTGTGGGGACTTCGAAATAGAAGAAATGTCACAGTTTGTGTGGTTTAACTTTTGCTTATGGTTCGTTAATAATGTTAAATGAAGCTTTTAGCGTCAAAAAAAAAGAAAAAAAAAAAACAAACAAACGGTGAATCAACTGTGAATCGAAACTAAAGCTTGTAACACACATTTCTGTGGAGCAGAGTCTCCAAAATGAGCTCTGAGTTAACAGTCATACAAACTCTGGAACGAGACACTGCAACAGTTCAATCTGCACAGCTCCCCTTCCTCGTCTCGCTTGCAGTGTTTACTGTCTGAGAAGAGAATAACACCGTCTCAAATCACTCAGTGTCCCCTACATAGGGCACTACTGTTCAAACAAACATGATCATCATTAACAAGCACTTGAGCTTTAAATAGGGAATTTGTAGCCTGTTGTTAATGTTGATTATAGATGACTTAGTCGAACATTTCTTGCACTCTTTGGGTGAAGGATTTGCTATTTCATGATCCACGAAGTGCACTAGATAGGGAAGATAGTGTGCTTTGAGACGGGACCTCGCGCGTGTAAACACTGTGTGCTGATTTTAGAGAAAGCAGAGTTTCAGAGATTAAACTGTAGGAGTGTTTCTGCCGCAGCTGAGATGCATGTTAATTTTAAGTTATGTTTTAGTTTTAAATGCTTTTAGAAAAGCAGCTCCACAGGTGAAGACACGCTGTGTGAGTTCTACACTGTCTGCAGCTCACAGCGCGGTCACGCAGTTCCTCTGTGAGTTTGGCTGTTTTTCCTGGTGCACTGTATTGATTAGGGGTTCAGCGCCACAATGGCACAATAATGCTGCAGTTGCAGTTCGGACAGAAATCCCCCGAGTGCAGCACTTCTTAGAAGTAGTAATTTTCCATTAAGACCCGCCTCAGAGTTGGTCCAGATTTAATACTCTATGCAGGGAAATCCCTAGTTATTGTAATTATTACTACTACTACTACTACTACTAATAATAATAATAATAATAATAATAATTACAACAGTAATAATAATAATAAGAATAGTAATAATAATAATAACAGTAATAATACATTTGCTATTCTTTTGTTTACAGAGTATTACAAGTATTGTAAGTAATACAAAAGTAATACTAAAATTGTATTGACCTTATTTTTTAATGTTTATGCAAACAAAAAGTGCATATTGCTGCCAATTCTATTTGTGTTAATATAAAAGTTGGTGAAACGAGTTTCAGTTTGTGTATCAGTATTTATTTTTTAATTTATTTTACTTTTCAACACATTTGAACATATCGCGATAATACCGATAATCGTGATAATTTTGGTCATGATAATCGTGATATGAAATTTTAATATCGTTTCATCTCTAGTATGTATATATATATATATATATATATATATATATATATATGTGTGTGTGTGTGTGTATATATATATATATATATATATACACACACACATATATATATATATATATATATATATATATATATATATATATATATATACATACATATATTCCATGGGGAGATGAGGTAATGCCAGTAATGTTTATGACCAATTTGCATGAGATACATATGTAGAAAAGACAGAGATGGGAGCGGCGACTCAATTTGCACTCCATCTTCACTCCAGAAAAGAGCAGAAAAGATGTTAAAATACTTTCTTTTGATTACTCATTATCATTTACTCAGGACTTTTCCTTGCTGTCTGAAATGCAGTGTCAGTGTGTCAGTGTGTCACGGCCAGTCGCTTGGAAATTCACAACAAACAGTCAACTTCATCTCATATAATGAAAAGAAATTATGTCCTGTAATTTGGACATGTTCTGAGTTGTGCACGTGAGACAGGACAGTGACTGGACAGAACTGCCCATTCCATGCCGTTCTTCGCGCTGTGTCGCCGATGCGCACGCGCAAACGTGGTTGCTGAGATGCAGGCAGACGCAGCCGCAGCTGGAAGCTAAACGAAAGTGAAAGTTTCAGTGCCACATCTTTACAGTCACCCAGTTCGCCAACGTCTTCAACCTCTTCTGAAATAATATTTCTACCGCATTTCTGCACCATTCTTCGTTGTAAACACACGAGCCACCGCCGCCGCGCGTCTTCCCGGGCAGCGCTGTGAGCTGTGAGCCCCGCTAAGCTGGACTGCCACGTTTCAGTACAACACGAAAACGCAGCGGTCCTGGGGTTCACGCTGTGGTCTGAGGCGTCCAGTTTATTGTCCAGACAGCGGACGTTGGAGAGGAGAACAGATGGTACAGACGGGCGGCTAGGGTTAGCATTTAGCTTAGCTCGAACCCCCGAGCGTTTACCGCGTTTCCACTTTCTGCCACACCGTTTGCGACGCGTCCTCCCCCGGCCAGAGGCGTCACGCTGTCCCGAGGTCCCGAGGCCTGGTCGCGCAGCGCCTCCAACAGTCCGTCATTTATCATAGCAGAGCTCCGTTTTCCAGCATCATACTGGGTGTGGCGGTAGTGGACGTGTTCACCAGGGTGTCTGGTGCGCATCTTAGAAAGAACTGTTTCCAAAACGGACTACAATAAACAAAAAGCACAATATGTTCGTATTTTCCCAGAAGCAGCCGCCGCCATCTTGGACGGATTCCGTTACAACCCCACCCAGTACAGAAGTGGAAAAGGCCAATAAACACAAAGCGCAGCTCATTTCTGTAGATCATCACTTCTGCTCGATGAACATGGTGATTTAACACCTAATCTGTGTTTGAAGAATTCAGAAGAAGCACTGAGAACGTTTAAAACAAGCAGAAACTAGGAGATTTTCCTAAAGAGCTTCTTACCATGATGGGCCGAGATGTTCGCAGACGTGCTGAATCTTCTCAGTTTGGCTGGAATGTGCAGGGGGGGAGGAAGACCCCGTATATATAGCGTCCAGCAGGCAGTTCCTTTCACTTTCATTTCCATTTACTGCAAGATGACGTTTCAGATCAGAAGCCATTATTAAAGTTATGGTCAAGCTTGATTTCTGTGTATTTATTTTAAATGACTGCTAACAAGCAGCTTTACTACTCAGTTTTCTTCTTCGAAAGTCCTCACACGGTTTGCACAACAGTTTAGATCAAAGCAAGAACATTTTTCTTTGTTTGAATACAGAATACATTCAGTGAACACAATTTCCCAAATCCTTAATTCTCTTCTCACTCAGTCTCGGCCTTTAACAGAACTGTGTAGCTCAATCTGGAAATGCTTACGTACAGTGCTACATATCTGACATAGCCATGATTCTGCTGTGGGTAGTGCTCTTTAAAACCAGCAGAAAGAACACACATGGCAAAAGAACCCCACTCCCACCCCCCAAACCCAGGGTGCCACATTACCATGCCACCCTGCCAAAACTCCGTCCACCCCAGTGCCCCTGGTATCTACTGTGAATTATTCAGTATCTATTATGAGTCGTTCAATAAGTACTATGAATTATTCAGTATCTACTATTAATTATTCAGTATCTACTATGAATTATTTGGTAACTACTATGAATTATTCAGTATCTACTATGAATTATTCAGTAACTACTATGAATTATTCAGTATCTACTATTATTCAGTATCTAATATGAATTATTCAGCAACTGCTATGAATTATTCAGTATCTACTATAAATTATTCAGTATCTACCATGAATTATTCAGTAACTGCTACAAATTATTCAAGTAACTAATATGAATTATAAAAGTGAGTTTATCTTCAGACAAGCAGCTTAAAGTAAAGGTTCAGAAATATTTAGAAGCATTCAGGATTTTGACATTTTTACTACTACAATACACTTTTATTACTACAATACTTGCAGAGTTTAAATACAACAAGTATGATGATGTTATTAAATAATACTGATCTTTCTCTCCCTGCAGTGTTGAGGTGGCGTCCTTCTGCTTCATTTTCATTACATCATGTCAGATTTTTACACATTAAATAGAGATAATGTATTCAAACGGGTTTGTGTAAGCAAGCAACAAATAGAACCAACAAAATGGAAAGAACAAAATATATATTTATGAAAGATGCTGTTCTTTCTATATACAAGGATAAAGTTACACATGAATATATAGTCATGTGTAAATGTTTGGGCGCCCCCAGCACTCAAAAAAATATTTAAGCCCAAAAGTTAAACGTATGTATTTTAATTACATGTCAATTTTCCATTCAATTTAAATACATTAATCCAATGTAAAAATGGTATTTTAATGTATGTTTCTCCATCATCTTCCATACACTTGAATTAATTAAATAACATTTATATTAGAAGTACTTGTAGGATTTATGCAATTCTTTTACATAACATTTATGTATTTCTAAAGAGTTAACAGTACTTTCTGTATTCACAGCACAAATACTTAGACTGTGTAAATGTTTTAAATGAAATACATGTTAAATTCATAAACATTTATTGTAGTCCAAACTGTATTAAACAGTATTTGCTGAGTCACATTACACGACACATGTAAACTTTAAAGTCTAACGTGAAAGAAATAAACATAACTTTATATATTTCAGCTGTGATCAAATTCCCTGGTTTAGAATTTCTATTCACTCGCAACTGAACTACTAATTAAAGCAAATGTTTATGTGCACAACATTCCTATTGAGGTGCAGCTCTCATGCTAACTATCATGCAAGTTAGCTAGCTAACGCTATCAGTCACTTCATGCCATGCTAACATGTCGAGGTCACCTACAGTTACAAAAACCATGAACTGTTGATTTGAATATTAATGGAATTAATCTTTATATACTGCTTCACAATAAATCACTGCCATTGTTTATTTAATCTACCTTTTGTACCCGGTAACATGACAGCAGACCTAGCAAGGATGCTAGCTAGCTAGTTTGCTGGTGTTGTCTAGAGTATCTCTCAAAATAAGCCAAATGAAACATTAATATATGATCAAAAACATTAAAAACACAAATTAAGTTAATGCGCATCACTATTTCATTGCAGGATGGCAGGAGATTGTAAAAAATAAAAAGAGCCATTTCATGTCCACCATGCCAGCTGAAGCAATTTCCAGTTGATGATGCGTTTCCTGTTACTATAGCACATGCATACTGCATCCTAATAAGATTTAGTGGAAAAATCTAACAGGTCTTATACGGTTCAATTAAATCAGTTTTGGATTTATCCTAATTGGGTTGCTTCTAATGAATATAAAAAAGTAAAGTATATTTTTATGTTTTTTTGAAAAAATATTGGCTTAATGTTTGTGATGGCCATAAATAATTTTTTTGAGTGTGGTCAAATTCTGTGTCTTGTTGATTTTCTAGGTGTGAATAATTTAACATACCCTCTACAGAGAACACATTTTAATACACAGTAATTGAATTTAACATATTGGATAAAAAAAACACATAAAACATACTTTTTACACACATTTTGTGTTTCATTTTTCCCCCAACATGGTCAATTCAGAAAATAAACAGTAAATAATGAAAATGTGTCCACTTATTTTCACTTTTGCATGACTGTATAGGCTCCTGTCAGTGTTATTAGGCTGCAGAGGTATGATGTATGTGTCTTGTGGTACATGTTGAAGACTTTTTTTGTCTTCTTTCTGAAATTTTGGATGCATTGCTAGTCAATTAAAGACATGAAGAAGCTTTGTTTTGAGAACTGATTTTTTTTTTATTTTCTTTTTTTGACTTGGTCCTCGTCCTTGCCACCAGAACTTTGTAAACAAAGTTACGGCCATAGGTAAAAGGAAGTGACATTCATCATGTGTGGTTGGATATCAAAGAATTCAAGGATATCCTTCTTCTGTTGTTCGTGGGGTGAAGAGCTGGACAGTTCTGCTTTCTCTTTCTCAGTTGAAGTCTGCATTAAGATACACAGCGCAGGAACCAAATCATGACGTCTCTCCTTTTTCTTGCACTTACCATTAATCTGGCATCAGCAGGTGAGTTCATATTACTTACAACATAATGTATATGTAAATCTAAAGGTTTACAGGTTAAAGATTGTCTTAGAAGCCATAAAAGTTCAGTGCTGCAGTTGTTAACTTGCTGTTTTCCGAGAATGTTTTAATCCAGCAGCTTGATTTGAGTGAGGAGAATAAAAACAGGCTAAAATATGGTGAATGTATTCTGCTGTGAGTCACCCTGTCAAGCCTGAAATAATCATTTACACATCAAAGGCATCTTTGGACCTGAATTACCCACCTCTATATATAACTCACATTCTTATTTTTAAAAAATTAACTATGATACCAACCAACCTTCTTTATTTGTACACTGTTTGGTCTTTTTAGCCCGCAGCCCACCACGCACATTGCACTTTGACCACCAAGACCAAACGTTTGGGCACCCCTGAACTAAAATCTGGGATTACACTAAAGAACTTAAGATATATTCTTGGAATCTGGAGGTTCTCAGTGAAAGTTCGTGTAATTTCAACTTTATTTATCTAAGCATCTGAAGGTAAAGGTTGGAGATGTTCCTCTCTGTTCAAGTTCAGTGACAGGCTAGCTAACTGTTTCTTACTGCATGTGTGAGCGCTGTTCCTGCCCGATGTTACCCTCATGAAGCTGATGATGTGAATCAGGTCTTTTAGAGCAGGGGAACATTCAAATGTGCAGGGCAGTGGCTCATACAAGAGCAGAACTAGAAAACAGTGAGCTACAAGCAAGTGCTGAGGGTCAACAACCTAAAGCACGATTGGGGAACTTTGGATTCCTGCACTGTTTGGTGATTTTTTTGTTTAAACTTTTGGTTGAACACATTCGTTGATTGCCAGGTTTAGCTGTATTTTTCATGTTGTTACACATGTCCAAGTAGAACATGCTTTTGGTCACCTTCTTGTCTTCCCACAGCAAACTCATCTGAGAATTTTCACAGTGATCCGACAGGGACTAGATTCACCTGGAAGATTTTTCCATCAGTTTAATGGTGGCTGTAACTCAGACTCTGCTAGTCTCAAGTGGCCAGACGTAATCTCGTAGGATGAGCATCTGAAGACAACCATGAGGAATTTTTAGCTAAATATGGGAGAGACCATACACTTTTTTGGGAGGAACAAGCTGAGAATGAAATTTCTAAAACAATCCAACACCCCATGAAGGTAGAGCTCACAGTAGGGGGCGCTGGTGCGTTCGTCAACCTTGTCCAATGCACAACAAGCCTGTCGTTCGCACATGAATGTAGTTTAAGTCATATTTGAAAGGTCCCTCAAAAAACTCCAACTAAGCATGTAGATGTGTAAAAAAACAGTGAAAAAATGTTTCGTTAGCTGACGTTAGCTTGGCTTGCTTGTAATTAATTGAATTGAATCTATTTATTAAAATGTCTTCATATTCTGTACACTTGAGTATGTTTACATGCTGATACTTTTTGGCTTTCACTCAAGTATATTTTTAGCTCCATACTTCTGCTTTTAACTGAGAAAGAGTTCAACACTCAAACTTTCACTTCAGTACCGTTTCTCTGGACTTTTTACAGCCCTGTCCACCAACACGCTTTATTGAAGTCATAGTCACATTATTGACAAACTTGTCGCCCTTCAGTGAAATTCCTGGATATGAGTGTTAAATATGCCCCTCATATGAACTGAGTGGATTGAAAGAGTTTCAGGAGCTGCTGGATAATATTACCTTAGCTAAAGTCACTGGAAATCAGTGCTTTAATGGTACTGCTAAATGAAGCCTCTTCTGTGCAACAGAAGTTTATTGAGCAGTTGGTTTCATTTGCACAAATATGATATCATTCTTCTGTAGTCTTAGAATGGTGGGTGTTAAAAGGCTAGTACGACTAAATTATTATTGTTCGCAACCAAGACAGTCAGGTACCACTTTGTTTTTGTCTGAAATTGATGTAGAACACAATGATTTCTGTGGACTGTACTCTCTATGAGAGCTAAGAGATCACCTGCAAATTACATTTCAAGTGGCGATCATAGGGGTCCAAGCATTTCACAACTTATGGCACCAGCACAGGCCTTTCAGCAGATAGAACATAAGTGACAGTGATGCCAAATTTTGTACACACTGGCGTTGGTATGGTAAGCAATAAGTCTCCACAAAAATTTCAAAATATCTGAAAGCAATATAGTTTTTGACATGACTTGAATTGCCATAGTCGTTGAGGTCTATCAGCCTGTAGAGTTTAGCTCCAGCCCTTATATAACACCCTGGCTCCAATTAATAGACGAAAAATAGACACAGCGATGTTGGATCTGACCTCTGGATCTCCAGCACCAGAAATGGTCCCATCTGTTCTACAGCAACTACCTGTTTCTCTATATGAATGCATAATAATGCTTCATTTACATTTGAAAATAACTAAAATTTTCTAAGCTAAATGTTCCAAGCCTCAGAAACCTGTACAAGGGGTTGGTTTCTGAACTTGTCACATTTTTCACTGCTTATAAGTTTGCATGTCTGTTTTTGGTAGGTGTGAAATTATAAGCCTAATGATGGCATTTTACCATGTCTGCTGCTGAATGCAAAACACATGAATAATACATTATATGGACAAACCATATTGGGTCACCTACACATTACACTGACAGGAGCTTTATGAAGCCCGTTCTAAATCCATAAGCATTAATATGAAGTTGGTCCCCCCTTTGCAGCTATAACAGCTTCCACTCTTCTGGGAAGCTTTCCACAAGATTTTGGAGAGTGACTGTGGGAATTATTGTCCATTCATCCAGAAGAGCACTTGTGAGGGCCAGTCACGTTTTTCCACACCAAACTCACCCAGTCATGCCTTTATGGGCCTTGCTCTGTGCACTGGGACTCAGTCATGCAGGAACAGAAAAGGTTCTTCCCCAAACTGTTCCCACAAAGTTGGAAGTGTACAATTGTCCAAAACAATCGTCTTGTTCTGCTTAAGCATTAAGATTTCCCTAAACTGGAACTAAGGGTTCTAGATCAGCCCCTGAAAAACAACCCCATAGCATCATCCCTCCTCCACCAAACTTTACAGCTGGCACAGTGGCAGGTAACATTCTCCTGGCATTCGCCAAACCCAGACTCGTCCATTAGACTGACAGATAGAGAAGCGTGATTCATCAGTGGCGGCATGCTTTACACCCCTCCACCCCGACATTCGGCATTGTGCATTTTGATCTTAGGCTTGTGTGCAGCTGCTCAGCCATGGAAATCCATTTTGTGAAGCTCCTAATGTGCAGTTCTTTGCTGATGTTGCTTCCAGAGGCAGTTTGGAACTCTTTAGTGAGTAATTCAACAGATGATAGACACTGTGAGCTTCAGCACTCACCAGCCCCACGCTGTGAGTTTGCGTGGTCTACAGCTTCGTGGTTGAGCTGTTGTTGCTCCAAGATGCTTCCATTTCAGAATAATAGCACTTACAGTTAACAAACTACTGCCATTGTTTGTCTATGGAGACTGCAAGGCTATGTGCTTAATTTTATCCACCTGTTAGCAATGGGTGTGGCTGAAACATCTGAACTCAATAATTTTGTCCATATAGCATATATGTATGTATGTATGTATATTATGGCAAGCCAAACAAGAAACATTTCATGAACATCGATATATATATACAGTGAACATTGATGAGAATATGGAATGAAACTCTGAATATATGGAATGAAAGTCTGAATATATGGAATGAACCTTGAGAATATGGAATGAAAGTCTGAATATATGGAATGAAAGTCTGAATATATGGAATGAACCTTGAGAATATGGAATGAAAGTCTGAATATATGGAATGAAATCGGATGTCATCGAAGAACTTGCGCCGTCTTGATTTTTCGATGTGTGATATCTGAAATCTAGGAGCAGTGATCCTGAAGAGTGAGGGGATAATTAACACCCTGGTGAACGGATGTACTGCCCAAAATAACACTAGAAAGAAACAAGCCTTTCACCTCACAGGAGCAGCCCACAAGCGGCCTAGAGTGCAGTAATGAGTAAAGAGGGGTTGTAGGGATGGGGTATGGTGTTGGGGTTCCACTTTAACCATGATGTCAAGGGGGGGCTATCCTCGTTACAAGCGATCGCATCCCGACGGGGTGGATGTCGAGGGCTATCCCCGTTACAAGCGATCGCGTCCCGGGGGGCATCTAACGTAGCATCCAACTACATAGCTAGTCCTAACCCACACCATAGCCTTGGGGCCTTTCAAGTGAACGGGTGAAGATTTTAGGTAGGGTCGTTGTGAGGTGCTCTGGTGGAAGGCATGTTTCTTTCCGCATTACCGTTTGCCTGATAATTGTCTGGCCTGTGAGGTTCACTGCATTCTTCCACAGTGAAACAATGAATAAAGTTCACAGTATTAAATACGGTTACCGGTATTATTTTCACCAGGGTGTTAATTATCCCTTCACTATTCAGGATTACTGCAACTACATTTCGTGCTGACTCAGTCATAGCGTCGCACTGCCGGCGTCCGTACGGAGTCTCACATATACGAAACACAAGATGGCGCTAGTGCCTTGATGACGTCAGATTTCATTCCATTTTCTCAAGGTTCATTATGGAGTTTCATTCCATATTTTCAGGTTTCATTCCATATATTCAGACTTCCATTCCATGTATTCAGCGTATATATATATATGCAATCAATAACGAATTAACATGATAAATTAACATGATGTTTACTAATTGAGGTACTGCTTTTTCATCCGGACAGCCTCCCATTCTCTTCACTACATCTACACTGCAGTAACTCCAGGAATGCAATTCCCAGAGTTCACCACAGTGGGTGTGGTAGACAGGGAACAGTGTGATTACTATGACAGCAACATCAGGAGAGTGATCCCAAAGGCTGAGTGGATGAAGAAGATAGACGCTGATGATCCGGAGTACTGGAACAGAAACACTCAGACTCTGCTGAGTGATCAGGGGACCTTCAAAGCTAACCTGGATACTCTAATGCAGCGCTTCAACCACACTGACGGTGAGCGCTCAGAGCTTTGATTACATTGTACTCCTGCAACTGCGCCAGTCCCTGTGGTGGTTACAGTGGTGGTGATAGGAACCAGGGGGCACCATGACTACAACACAAATATAGACATTTTATTTACTATCAAAACCACCAGAGAACCTACACGAGTCTTCTGAGTTTATATGGAATGATGATGATAAAATAGAAAATCTAAAATAATAGGTTCTCTTTTGGGACTATTTTGCCTCATAACAACCCTGCATGTATCCCTCCACAATTAATTGTCTAACACATCAGGCAGTGTGTTCATAACCATTTCATGTAAAAACTTTCTGTGAGGGAGCTTTTAGAGGTGGACGTCTGGTTCCTATCACCACCACTGTGAACAATTCTGACTCTGTAAGGTTCTCTAGAACAGAGCGTTTCACACCAAACCACTCTGAATGACTCTGTTTACCTTTCAACCGTTTAATGATGCAGAATTTTTTAACAGTTGCTGGAATTTCTCTTCTATTTCATGTTCACTCACAGGATGAGAGGCTCATTTTTACAGTGTGTGTGTTCTTACAGGGTATGTTGATCTAATGGTGTCTAATGTGGTTTAATTTCTCATATTGTGCATCGGTATGAAGTGTTTGTGCTTCTGCAGGTTTTCACACATTCCAGTGGATGTACGGCTGTGAACTGGATGATGATGGAACCAAGAGAGGATACATGCAGTTCGGTTATGATGGAGAAGACTTCATCAGTCTGGATCTGAACACTCTCACCTGGACTGCAGCCAACGCTAAAGCTGTTATTACCAAACACAAGTGGGAGAGTGTAAACTGGGCTGCTCAGGTGAAGAACTACCTGGAGAACACCTGCACTGAGTGGTTACAGAAGTATGTGGGTTATGGCAGATCCACTCTGGAGAGGAAAGGTAAAGTCTGTGGTCACAGCTGTCGGTCAGATTGGGTTCTGAGTTCTTCCAGATGCTCTTTTACTGAGTGGACACTTAAGCAGTAGAGCTAAAGTTTTAGAAGTCACCTATGTTTAGGTTAATGTAAAAATGGTGTAGATTTGATTTTCTTTCTGAACTATTGCTTTATCAATAATACACAAATATTCAGTAGTCAAAATATTACACGGTGAACTGTCTTTATCTCTCTCTTTCTCTTGTCTCTCTCTCTCCAGTCTCTCCTGAGGTGTCTCTGTTCCAGAAGGACTCTTCTGCTCCAGTGGTGTGTCATGCTACAGGTTTCTTCCCCAAAGCAGTGATGATCTACTGGCAGAAGAATGGAGAGGATCTGCATGAGGACGTGGAGCTCTTTGAGACGCTACCCAACCAGGATGGAACCTTCCAGAAGAGGATCATTCTGACTGTCTCACCTGAGGAGCTGAACAGACACAACTACATCTGCATCATTGAGCACAGCAGCCTGGAGAAGGAGATGGTGCTACAGGTGGCTGATCAAAGAGTCCAGTCAGGTAGCAAAAACTGATTCTGTAGCACAAAATGTGTTAAAGTCAAGAGACGTTTAGACGCTAGCTCTAAAATGGTGTAGCATCGCTCAAACAGTCAGCCCAGAAGCCTCGTAGCTGTAGTGTAGCACTGTTAAAGTAGTCGGCCCAGGAAGCCTTGTAGCTGTGGTGAAGCATCACTCAAGCAGTCAGCCCAGGAAGCCTTGTGGCTGTGGTGTAGCATCGCTGAAGCATTCAGCCCAGGAAGCCTTGTAGCTGTGGTGTAGCATCGCTCAAGCAGTCAGCCCAGGAAGCCTTGTAGCTGTGGTGTAGCATCGCTCAAGCAGTCAGCCTAGGAAGCTTTGTAGCTGTGGTGAAGCATCGCTCAAGCAGTCAGCCCAGGAAGCCTTGTAGCTGTGGTGTAGCATCGCTCAAGCAGTCAGCCCAGGAAGCCTTGTAGCTGTGTGTGAAGGTGTTGCCACCATTTGTGAAGGTGTTGTGGGTAGTTGCAGTGGACAAATGGCCTAAAGGCTCTCAATTCACTATGCAAGGACACTCTGATCTCCATGTTCCCAGTGCTCTGAAGTTTATTGTAGTCACACAGAAAAGTATTTACAGCCACAAGAACAAAGCTGTAAGGGAATGACTTCATGAATGACAACATGCACTCGTCTTACATACATAAGTTAGTGATCGGCTAGCATCATCTACTAAAGCTGTTCTCATTTTACAGCCACCTCAACAGGCTTTTTTCATTTTATTGCACTTGACCCTTCTGGACCCAGCAAATCAGGACCAACCAAGTCAGCACTCCAATCTGGTGAATATGATTTATTTGTTTCTTTAAATGTCTTTGAAATAATAAAAGTCTTTTCAGTGTCCCTTGAGGTAAGTAGTATAATATAGTTCTGGAGATTTGTTAGAGTGTCCTAACATCACCACACTGTGGTGTAGCATTGCTCAAACACCCGACCCAGGAAGCCTCATAGCTGTGGAGTTGTATTACTCAAGTAGCCAACCTGGGAAGCCTTGAACCTGTGGTATATATATATATATATATGCGCATTAATATCGAATTAACATGATGTTTACTCAGAACTAATTGAGGTACTGCTTTTTCATCCGGACAGCCTCCCATTCTCTTCACTACATCTACACTGCAGTAACTCCAGGAATGCAATTCCCAGAGTTCACCACAGTGGGTGTGGTAGACAGGGAACAGTGTGATTACTATGACAGCAACATCAGAAGAGTGATCCCAAAGGCTGAGTGGATGAAGAAGATAGACGCTGATGATCCGGAGTACTGGAACAGAAACACTCAGACTCTGCTGAGTGATCAGGGGACCTTCAAAGCTAACCTGGATACTCTAATGCAGCGCTTCAACCACACTGACGGTGAGCGCTCAGAGCTTTGATTACATTGTACTCCTGCAACTGCGCCAGTCCCTGTGGTGGTTACAGTGGTGGTGATAGGAACCAGGGGGCACCATGACTACAACACAAATATAGACATTTTATTTACTATCAAAACCACCAGAGAACCTACACGAGTCTTCTGAGTTTATATGGAATGATGATGATAAAATAGAAAATCTAAAATAATAGGTTCTCTTTTGGGACTATTTTGCCTCATAACAACCCTGCATGTATGCCTCCACAATTAATTGTCTAACACATCAGGCAGTGTGTTCATAACCATTTCATGTAAAAACTTTCTGTGAGGGAGCTTTTAAAGGCAGACGTCTGGTTCCTATCACCACCACTGTGAACAATTCTGACTCTGTAAGGTTCTCTAGAACAGAGCGTTTCACACCAAACCACTCTGAATGACTCTGTTTACCTTTCAACAGTTTAATGATGCAGAATTTTTTAACAGTTGCTGGAATTTCTCTTCTATTTCATGTTCACTCACAGGATGAGAGGCTCATTTTTACAGTGTGTGTGTTCTTACAGGGTATGTTGATCTAATGGTGTCTAATGTGGTTTAATTTCTCATATTGTGCATCGGTATGAAGTGTTTGTGCTTCTGCAGGTTTTCACACATTCCAGTGGATGTACGGCTGTGAACTGGATGATGATGGAACCAAGAGAGGATACATGCAGTTCGGTTATGATGGAGAAGACTACATCAGTCTGGATCTGAACACTCTCACCTGGACTGCAGCCAACGCTAAAGCTGTTATTACCAAACACAAGTGGGACAGAGAAGCCTGGGCTGCTCAGGTGAAGAACTACCTGGAGAACACCTGCACTGAGTGGTTACAGAAGTATGTGGGTTACGGCAGATCCACTCTGGAGAGGAAAGGTAAAGTCTGTGGTCACAGCTGTCGGTCAGATTGGATTCTGAATTCTTCCAGATGCTTTATCAATATTCAAAATATTACACAAATATTCAGTCAAAATATTTCACACTGAACTGTCTTTATCTCTCTTTCTCTTGTCTCTTCCTCCAGTCTCTCCTGAGGCGTCTCTGTTCCAGAAGGACTCCTCTGCTCCAGTGGTGTGTCATGCTACAGGTTTCTTCCCCAAAGCAGTGATGATCTCCTGGCAGAAGAATGGAGAGGATCTGCATGAGGACGTGGAGCTCTTTGAGACGCTACCCAACCAGGATGGAACCTTCCAGAAGAGAAGCGCTCTGACTGTCTCACCTGAGGAGCTGAAAAAGAACGAGTACACCTGTGTCATTCTGCACAGCAGCCTGGAGAAGGAGATGGTGCTACAGGTGGCTTATTGAAGAGTCCTGCAAGGTAGAAAAAACTGATTCTGTAGGACAAAATGTGTGAAAGTCAAGAGATTCTACACCACGCTAGCTCTAACGTGGTGTAGAATCACTCAAACAGCCGTCCCAGTAAGCCTCGTAGCTATGGTGTAGCATCGTACGAGGAGTTGGCCCATGAAGCCATTGCTTAAGCATCCGACCCAGAAAGACTCTTAACTGTAGTACAGCACTGCTCAAGAAGCCTGCCTAGGAAGCCTCATAGCTGTGGTGTAGCATCGCTCAAGCAGTCAGTCCAGGAGGTTTTAATAGCCTTGGTGTAGCATTGCTCAAGTAGCCAGCCCAGGAAGACTTGTAGCTGTGTGTGAAGGTGTTGCTACCATTTGGAAGCCTCATAGCTGTAGAACTGTATTGCTCAAGTAGCCAACCTGGGAAGCCTTGTACCTGTGGTGTAGCATTGTTCAAGCAATTTATGTGCGAAGCCTTGTAGATGTAGTGTGTCACTGCTCAAGCAACCGGCCCAGGAATCCTCGTAGCTGTGGTGCAGCATAGCTTAAGCAGCCTGCCCAGCCTGCTCATGTTCCACCAATATTAAATTATCATACATTAAAAAGATCATGTTAATAAAGATCGTCTTCCCTCCACTGGATTATCTTCTATGGCTTTTCTAATACTATGTTAGCACTAAGCTAATTGTAATCGTAACCTTCATTAACATATTTGTATCGGTTTTAAAGTGACTCCTTCAATAAATGCCACTGTTTTCCATTCCTAACAACCACCTGAAACCTGCTTAGACTACCGCTCTTATTTCTAGACAGTGACGTATCTAGAACCTCCAAAAGTGACAATGTTCTCACAAAATTGATCTCATTGTAATCAAAACGTGATTGGTTGATTCCTCTGGCAGTTCGTAAGTATGTTGGAAGTTAGTTTAACGTGTCCAGCTCCTGAAGTCCTAACCAATGGGAGCTCGCTTGGCTGTGTCAACCTAGATAACATTCCTATCTGGATACATTTCCATTTCAAGATTTTAACCCTTTTGTTTCCAACCAAAACTTAATAATGAAATTAGAGTATTACTACAAAACTTCCAGAGTTTGAGTACAAGTAAGATGCTGCTAAATAATAACAACTGGAATATAAAAGTGACAGTGTGGCTAAAGCATAAGACAATGATGGGCTTCCAGTAGTGTTGTTGTGCTACATCATTGTGTACTGTCTCCGCATCTACACCATGCGTATCCAGTGCCCAGATGTTCTTGTTACAAGATCTTTTTTAGCCCAACAAGATGAATTCAGTGCAAGCAGGGATAAAATAATATGTGTATGAGGTTTCAGAGGTAACTGTTTTATAATTCATTGTTATTAATTTGACACATAGGTTGAAGGAATTTTTTGCTCTCCATCTTCTGCATCTGTAGTGCACGATCAATTATTGTAAACAGATTAAGAAAAAAAACAATTTACTTGACATTTATTTAGTTACCATTTACCCTAACCACATTTTTATGAAATATTATCAGTAATTCTTCAGTGAAAGATGAAAGTAACTGGAACTACTTTTTTACTGGATTGCTCCAGTGTTGTAAACCTACATAACAACAGTTTTGGTAAGATATTTTTTCAGTCTGTCTACCCTGTGCTGTTGAGTTGGAATGGCTTGAGTTTGGAATTTACGTTATACACAGTTGCATGCAAAAGTTAGTGCACCCCTGGTCAAATTCCATGTATCGTTGATTCTGTAAGTGAAAATAAGTGAACACATCCTCTACAGAGACACACACTTTTGCACACTTTAATACACTTTAATAACTACTGAATTTAACATATTGGGAAAAAATAAAACAAAATCAGGACTATGCAAAACTTATGATACATTTTATGTTTTATACCTCAGACTTTATGCAGAAAAATTACATATTTAAGTTTGTTCCCTGTAGAGGATGTGTTAACTTATTTTAACATAGAAAATAAACAAAAAAAATGTTTTTTGTAATGTAATAAGAGCATTCAAATCTTTGCATGCAGCTGTAGTTACATATTTGTTACAGGTTTATTCATGGAATTCAGCAACAACACACTGGCCACACCAAATACAGATGGAACAGAACTCAGGCGCAAAACTGTGATCAATGCTGCAGTATTTATTACATTTAATAAATAACATATTGGCAAAGCATAAACTCCAGAGATAGATTACAAATACAGAGCAGGCAGGGATGACAAAAGTCTTTATTGTTTACATAACTAAGATGAAGAACTAAAAATATGAGTTAGCAAAACTTATGACTAAACTAAGAAGTTTGAGTTGGGTGCGTTCTCAAGTGAACTCTTGTCTAAATCTGTGCGAAAATTAAAATTTTTAGTTGAGCTCACTTTTATCTGTGTGTGAGGTTAGGGAAACATGTTGAGTATTGTTCATGGTAATGGACTGTACGCTACAGAGGAAGCAGATGGAGATTAGGCTGAAAAACACCTGTTTTCTTTTAACCCCCAAACTGGTAGCAACTGTGTATCAGAATAGACATGTAGAGTATTGTAACTGGCTGTAACCAATTATGAGAGGCAATTTGGTAGAAATCTTAAGGTAAATTTTTAAAGTAATTTTGTTAAAGTAAGTTTTTACCTTCAATTTCCAGAGATAACTGTAGAAGCTTTTGGTTAAAACCTGGTAAACAATCACATCTTGTCATGGCGACAGGATTCTGAGGCTGATCTGGGTACAGATGCAGATGCTGCTGAATTTTTATTGGCACTGCTTAGAAGATATAATTGTAAAGTATATAGTTTTCATGTATGAAATTTTGGCTACTCCAGTCAAATGGTATGTTGTTGTTGATTTTTTTGAAAAAAAAGGCAACACATCCTCTACACTATATTATGTTAATGCACAATTACTGACATGAAATGTGGCCTGTGCAAAGGTTATTATTTATCATTTTAAAACATATCATTTGACCAGGGGGTGTTCAAACTTTTGCATTTGACTGTAATGTTACAGCTGGAGTCACTCATTCAGGAAACCCCTCACATAACATGAAGCTAGGACACATTTATGATGCCATCACCTGAATTCCTGTTGGCTTCAAAAGAAAACTACAATGCTAACATTGCTAACTGGGCGGGAAAAAACTTTGAGGTCAAAGCAGGTCTCTTCATCCATGCTGGATTTGGCATTTAACAGAGATCAGATCAGCACTGGTCTATTCAGCTGGAGACAAGCCTGAAGCCTGAAGGTCATTAAGGGCACAGAAACAGTTGCTCATCTCACAATGCTGACACTTATTATTGTTATCACACTGATACAGAGGAATTTTTTCATGTATCTTCATGAAGTCACTCATAAGCTCTTCTCTTTTGTTACTGTTTTTTCTGTAGATCTGGTTGAAAATAAAAGCCCTCGGCCCTTTGGAGGACTTAAAAAAGTCAAGAGCAGGATAAATGCACTTTTTATTATCTTCCTCTTCATTTAGGCATGTTTCCAAACAGGGGGAGTTGTATGTGTAGAAGATTACACAATCCTCATCATTTCTTCCCTCTGTTATCTTTAACAATTGTTTTATCACCTTCCCTTCATTTTCTACTAACAGCCGGAACTCTGAGTGTTTATTGCTCTTATACTTGGTACCAATTACATGTTGTCCTTCATACATTTCTCTTCCACTTTTTAGTTTACTTTTTAACTCATCTATTTCTTTTTGGATTTTTTCATGTTTTTTAAAGTCTGATAGACAACCATCTTTTTCAATCCTGATTGCCGTGGCACATTGAAAATCAGCCCGATGACCGGAGTCAGATACTGTTGCCAAACGAGATGCCAATTTAGATGCTAGTCTACATGCCAATTCAGCTGCCCATTCAGATGCCCATACAGATGCCAATTCAGATGCCGATCCAGGTGGGAATATAGATGCCAGTGCAGACACCAATCCAGATGCCAATTTAGGTACCAATCAAGATGCAAGTGTAGATGACGTACCAGCAGATGTACCGGCACTGCATAGAAATAAAGAAGGATTAAAATGAGAGGTAGTGCACTCTTCATGAACTCCACTCTGATTACCAGAACATTACTGTGGAAATTTTTCAATCAGGTACAAAACATTATTATTACTTCAATTATGTAACGACATACATTTATTTAAAACTTTAACCATTCGAACCTGAGGACAAAAAAATCTTTTCAATGAATTTATTTTTCATTATACTTACCTAAGCTTTCAACTAAGTTTTCAAATAACAACTACCATAAAATCAGTGCTTTTAAGAAACTACTTTAGCTTTTTTAAGTTCAGCATTGGTATTCGGAAAACTGATCATCTGAGTACTTGAAGTAAAATCTTTTTGTAAAGCATTATATTGTGCTTTACACAATATAATGCTTTACAAATAATATAATATATAATATAATATAATATATTATAATATATATATAATAAAATATAATATATTTTCCTTGCTAAATGCCTATCACAAATAGAAAATCATAATGGGAAAAATATATTTAGGACATATATGAGGAATTGTTCTTATTCATGTCTAGTTTTGTGGATCAGACTATTGCTACTTACTGCACATTTATTATACTAACTATGTGCTCCAGTGCGTTTAAGTCTACATCATTCTTTTCATCAACCCCGATTCCTGAAGTTATAACGGAGTGTGTTACACCAAACCACTCTGAATGACCCTGTTTACATTTCAAACATTTAATTATTGCCCTTTAATGAACTGACTGTGAAATTTGGACACATATAACCTATTTTTCTATTCAAATAACAGAGGTTTTACACAAAATCTATCTTTGAACACTTAAGAAGAAGCACAGAGAATGTTTAAAAACAGCCAAACAAAGAGGACAGAGAGATTTTCCTGAAGATCTTCTTACCATGATGGGCTGAGATGTTTGCCGACGTCCTGAATCTTCTCAGCTTGGCTGGGATGTGCAGGAGGACGAGGAAGACCCGCACATTTATCACGTCCCAGCCACTCATCACGCAGGCAAATCACTCTCAT